TTAATATATTTTTCAGTAAATATTGCAAATTTTTCTCTAATCATATATTCATTCTTTGTTATTTCACAATTTAGTGTTTTTACTGGACTGACTAATGTATCAAAATCCATCTCATAACATGGAAAATTATTACCTTTATATATTTTGTTAAAATATGGAAAAAAGTATTCTAGTGTTGAAACTAAGTAAGGAAAGTTATCTTCATTATAAAAATTAGGTTTCAGTATAAGTTTATTCCGTAAGTTAATAAGGGATAAAATCAAAGGATGGTTTTTGATATTATCGATCTTACTTAAAAAATTAGTAGCTAATATTAAACTTCTATGCTTTAAATCATATTGCGCCGATTCTGCTAGCAATGCCAAGTGAGGAGTAGATTTCATACAACCTAAAGAAATTCGTAGCCCTTCAAAAAATACTGTGTTAAGTTTATTAATGCATTTCTGAGATATGGGTCTGAATAAGAATGAACCATAGTCTAAGTGAGATCTTATTAAAGCATTAAATACTATTAAAAGAGTCCTAGGGTCTGCGCCCCACCATACTCTGCAAATTGCACGTAAAATATTAATATTTTTCTTTGTTTTAACTAAAATATTATCAACATGTTTGTCCCACTTGAGATGATTTTGAAAAATTATGCCTAAAAATTTAACTTGATCTTTTAATGGTATAATTGTGTTACTAAGTTTGATTTCTGGGGTAAAATTTTTGCATTGTCCCTTCGAAAACCATACAGCCTCACATTTGTCTATAGAAAGAGATAGGTCATGTTCTAACAACCATTCTTGTACATTGTATAATGCCATATTAACTTTATTAACCATTTGTTGGATAACTGGTCCCTTAACATATAAAACCAAATCGTCAGCATACCCAATAATATTTATATCTTTAGGAAGAATGGAAAATAGATCCAATATGTATATATTAAATAAAATTGTGCTTAAAGGTGAACCCTGGGGTAAACCTTTAGTTGCTACAGACGGGCCCAAAAAGTCACCGTTATTGGATCTAGTATATAAAAGCCTGTTTTGCAAAATTTTAAAAATAATATTAATTATAGGACAAGGGACATTTAAATTTTGTAATTTATTGTTAAGTTTATATATATTCACATTATCATATGCTGATTTAATATCAATGAAGACGGCAAGGACTGAATGGGATGATTCAAAGGCTTCTGAAATGAAGGTATGAAGAAGGGCTAAATTGTTGGCAGTTCCTCTACCTCTTCTGAAACCTGCCTGGGTATTTTTGAAAACTAGATTATGTTCTAAAAACCAATCTAATCTATTTTTTATAATGATTTCTAATGTTTTTAGTATGCAAGATGATAAAACAATTGGTCTAAAACTATTCGGAAGAAGTGGGTCCTTTAAGGGTTTTAGGATGTTAAGAATATTAAATTTTTTCCAATCGCTAGGTAAGGGTTCTCCTTTAAGACATTCATTGTATATATTTAGGAGGATTTTTTTGGCTTTTAGAGGAAAATGTTTTATCATTGAGTAAGAAATATCATCAATTCCTGGGGCAGAATTTCGTTTATTGAACAATGCAGTGTCAATTTCTGAAAGTGAGATAAGTTCAAATTCTTGGTTAGTGTGAAGTAACCGGAATTCAGGATTAATGGAAACTGATGACATATTATATAATATTTCTCTTTTAATGTTATCTGAAGGATTATAAAAATTTTTACAATTATTATGATTTGAAAATTTTTTGACTTTATTCCATACATATGTAATATTGGATCCTTTATTTAATGTTTCACAAAATTGTTTAAATTTATTTTTCTTTTTTAATCTAAGGTTACGCTTAGTTTGTGCCATTATATGTTTAACATACAAATAATTTTCTAGTGATGGTGATGAGTCAAATATGTGCAAAGCTTCCTTACGTTTCTTAACCCATAATGTACATTCCTCATCCCACCAAGGATTGAATGGTTTACCCTGTATCCTACAATTTTTATAAGGAATCGAAACATCTGCTGCTTTATTGATAACTGACATGAATTGTTTGTAATTTATTTTATTTATTGAGAAATTTACTAGGTTGTTTAATATTTCATCATAAAAAAGATCCCAATCAGCTCTTGAAGAATTTCTCATTTTATAATTTTCTACGAAAGTTGTATCTGATAGTTCAATGTCATTGATTTTTATGTATGTGGGAAAATGGTTACTATTGCCGCAGTCTTTAATAATCCCCCATTTGGTACATAAAGCCAGATTACTACTCACGATTGTTAAATCAACAGCACTGATATTATTGTTGGGAAGCTGAAACAAGGTTGCTGAGCCATCATTTAGGATGGTCAACTCGTTATCAAATATAAAGTCAACTATTTGTTTACCACATTTATTAATTAAACATTTATCCCAAATTGGATGATGAGAATTCATATCGCCCATAATGATTAATTTTTTTATGTCTAGGTTTTTTAACATGGAATTTAAAAAAGGCACTGATATTTCGTTATTTGAACTGGAATAGATATTTATAAGGAATATGTCATCAATCTTTGTTATAATATATTGGATTTTGTCTGAATTATATTTTTTAATAGTCTGAAATGAAATATGATTTTTAATACAGGTACCTACTCCACCATAGCCATCATTCCTATCTTGTCTAATAATGTGATAAAATTTTAGAGTAAAATTGAAATCTTCTTTAAGCCAAGTTTCATTAATAACTACTATATCTGGATCTTCTTTAGAGACTAAATCTGTCAGAGTATCCCTATTTGAATTGATACTTCTGATGTTCCATTGAATGATTTTTATTTTTGATTTTAGGATCATTCTAAGTTTTAACTTATTAATCACTATCTGAATAATTGTCCAAGTCCATATAGGACCTAAGATTAGAATGGGAAAGTACAAGTTTTTTAACCATATTTAAATTATCTGGTGAAATGTTAATAAAGTTTAAACATGATTTTAGGAAATCATGTGAAGGTATTGTATCAAAATTATAATTACTATGCGATGCACTGGCATTCCAGGCTGAATTTGGTTTTACATTATATGAATTAGAAGATTTCGATTCTGATTGAGAGGGTATCGGAGATTTAGATTGAGATAAGGCAGTTAAAGAGGAGTAATTCTCTTGTCTACCATTTGGAACATAAAGACATTCATCATGTGCATTTCTGTCATAACCTTGTTGGATTACTCTTCTTTTATTATTTGTATTTGAAACTACCTGCTGAAATGTCCTTTTTGAAGATTTGAAATTGTGTGTTCTTCTTTCTGATGGTGAAACGGTATTGTGTTGAATAGTTTTATTATTAACGGGTTTTACTCTAGTACTATTACTCGGAAGGGACGGAAAATCGGAGTTGAATATGAATTTGTCTTTTTCTATGTTATTTTTGGGAATGTATTCACTAGCTTCAAAAAATGTTAGATTTTCATAAGACATAAGTTCTTTAATATTTTTTTGACGTAAATATTCCGGACACGTACGCGCTGTTGAAACATGTGGACCTTTGCAAAAGAAACATTTCATAGTGCAATCATCGGTATGTTTAAGCTCACCACAATTCATACATTTTTCTTTTGCTTTACAATTCGTTTTGGTGTGTCCAAATCTTAAGCAGTTATAACATTGTGTTACTGGGGGAATGAACACATTAACCAATTTTGGTAGATCGTAAAAATTTATTGATTTGGGCATTAAAACACCACTGAATGTGAACAAAACTGTACCTGTAGGTTCGTATGTAGTTGTATCCCCTTTGACTACTCTCCTGTTTAGCCTTTTAGCATTGAGAATTTTTATATCGCTGTTAGTAGAACAACATTCAATAAGTTCATTTTCATTTATTTCAACATCTATTTGACGTACAATACCTTTACAAGATATATAATTAAAAGGTATATAAATTTTGTAACCTTGATCTAATAAATTTTTGTTATTTAGGAAATTATTTGCAGATAGATAATTATTAAACTCTACAGAAATTCGGTTTGAACCTTTGCTTCTAATTTTATTAATATTATTTAATTTCAAATTAAAAATATCTCTCGCAATTTTTATATTATTGAAAGAACCAACTCTAATATTATTTATATTTGTTGACTCAATAAACACAAAAAACGGGCCAACATCTTTTTCAGAATACATATTGACAGTTGAATTTAATTTTTTATGTTCATTTTCATTGGGATCAGGGGGGGTAACCCCCCCCTCCACCTTATTCATAAAGAATCAGTCAGAAATGTCAAATTTTTGGTCACAAAAAATGAATAAAAAATTATTTTTATCAAAATAAAATTTAAAATAATATTACAAAAAAGTACAATGCTCAAAATACCTGTTCAATTTACAAGGATAGGTTTGATTCTGTTCTATTTGGCACAAACACGCACCTCTTTTCTTCGTTGACAGTAAGTAGCTCTTTACTGCACGAACGACGACAGGGGAATGTTCAAGTAAATCTACTAGTCGGTTTAATTTTGACATCGTCATTGTCATAAACATACAACACAAAAATGCCTACATGATGCCTACCACAAAAATATTTGTGTTAGCTGGATAAACTTAATGGTGCAGACATCTTTAATTTAAAAAAAGAAGAATAATAAATACAAAGAGTAGTAGTTTATATTTAAAAATTTTGATTAATAAATCTATTTGTAAATACTAATCTACAAACGAACAAATTTCAAAAATAAACAATAAAACCTTTGTTTTAATTGACGCAGCTTTATTTTGTTGATAAGGTGATTAATTATGGATAACTTTTAACATTAAGATACAATTTGATATTGACTATGAACAGGTATGATAGGTTGTTTAGTATCTTTCAGCCAATTCCAGTGGAAGACAAAATTTTTTCAACATATCAAAAAATTAATTTCGAATTACATTAGACAGTTGGTACTGTGAAAAAAATGTAGATCCATAAAGTGTATTTTTCAGTCCGCCTATTTGTCATTGCACCTTGCTTCTAGGAAACGTGAAAAGGTTTTGACAAATTTTACAAATGTCTTTCTGATATGACGTATCCTAACATACGTCTAGAAAACTTTTTAAATTGAAAATGGTCCGTAGAAATATGTTTCGATTGTGTTCAAAATCTTTAGAATTCGCAGGACTTCCTAATCCTATCATGGCAAATATTCCAGCATTTCATCATGTGCCGATTGTTGTTGAACAGACTAGTAGAGGGGAAAGGGCATTTGATATATATTCCAGGTAAAAACATGATCTATTATATATTGAATATTTACATGCTTTGCAATATTATGCTCAGCAAACCTTTTATGTTAAACGCTAATGTTAAATCAAGGAATTCTAATTTTAGTTATATTAAAGAAAATTGTATAGATAATATAAGAAAAAAGAGCAATTTAATGGTTCATATTATGAGCTATACATCAACTAAAATGTTTTAAGATTTAAATATTGAGAAGCGATTATTAACTCTCAGGCCAAGCTTAAGACGTAAAACGTTATTTTCTTAAAAATAAACAATATACATTGTCGAGATTTTTAGTACCTTTAATAAAAATAAACACCTATAATTTACATTATATTTTACAAAAAAATCGTTTTATTAAAAAATAATTGTCCAGATAGACCACCTCTATATCTATCTATATAAGGATTTTTACAGCTGTCGCCGCCTTTCTATTTTCAGCCAACGTCTCCAGTCCTTTCTGTTCTGCCATTCTTCATCTCTAAGGTCTTGTCTTTCCATGGCCTCGTCCACTTCATCTCTCCATAATCTTCGAGGTCTACCTCGTTTCCTCTTTCCTATTGGGCTTCAATCCGAAATCTTTGCTATTCACCTTATATGATGTTCTTCTCACATGTCCATACCAAATTAAACGATTTTCTTCGATGTAGCTAAGTATGTCTTGTTCTACTGCCATTCTTCGTTTTATCTCCTCATTTCTGATGCGATCTCTTTTTGTCAATCAGCAGCTTCTTCTCATGAACTCCATTACAGTTGCTGTGATTTTCGACCTGTTTCGTTTATTTATTACCCAATTCTCTGCTCCATGGGTCATTATACTGCGTACCAAGGTGTTATAAATTTTCTTCTTTATATTTCTGGTAATCTGTCTATACCTTAGTACCCCATTCATTTGTTTAATACATGTTCTTGTCTGTGCTAATCTGCTGGTTATCTCTTACTTGGTGGTCCCATTTTTTGAGAGTATGAATCCTAAATATTTGAATTTTTCAGTGCCATTAATTTCCCTATTATCGCCCATTTCCAAGTTTCTCACTGGTTTTTGATTTGTTGTTAATTATTCGTTTTTTTTTCTAGCTTTATTTCCAGTCCATTTTGTGTATTCCTTTTCCAATTTTCGGAGCATATAACACAGATCTTCTTCATCTTGAGCCGTTATAGACCACCGTCCTTTTCATATACATTTATTTATTTTATTTTCTCTCTAGTTTCGGGTATCTAAATAAATGAGTAAATCGTAGAAAATTATGTAATAATTGTACAGATGGTTTTCACTGGGCTGGGTTATCCCGATCGAGAATATACAGTGTAATTCTTAGATACGCCTCAATTGTTATTTGAGGAGGTAATTTTTATAACCCCACATGTTCAAAAATATTTTTTTTTAATAAGTGATGTTTCTATTTCGTAATTTTAAAACGCATTGCCTGTCATGTTTATTGCCGATCAAAAACCACATTTCCAGTTGTAATAATAATTTAAATGGATGAATGGTGTTTAAATGGATGAAAAATTTAAGAGAGTGGTTTAACTGTAACACTAACGAATTATTCAAAACAGCAGTAAATAAAATTAGAATCGCCATAATGATATCCAATCTCCGATAGGAGAGGCACTCAAAGAAGAAGAAGGTGTTTAAAGCAAAACCCCACATCTGATGTGTGGCGGTTATAGCAAAACTCCACATTTTCTATTCAGGCATAGAGAAGTAAGTATTCCAATCACGTGATTTAAATACATTGTTTTGATTTGATTGTTATTGTTGACAGTACACAATCTTAACAAGTTAGTTTTAAAGGAAAATTATAATTTAATTTTGGTTTGTGCTTAACTGAGTGAAATTATGAGTTTAAATGAAGATAATTTAGATAATGAATTAGTATTAGTTGAAAGAATAAGTTCTGGATCAGGATAAAGACAAAAGACCATTACAAAGCTTCAACTTCTTAAGGAAAACAGGTAAGCTGCTCCTGCTAGTGGTTGTGTACTCATAGTTTGTTTACATAAAGGTAAAACTTTTAAATGTTGTGAAGTTCGGTCTAGTGATGCCGGTGCATTTCGGAAGACACTGTATTCGAAACCCGAAAAACTTTTTCAGGACGAATTAGTTGGGAGGTTCATAATAACAAAAAACGTTTAATGTCGGAGGTCTTGACAATCTTCCTTAGACCTAGGTTTACAACAAGCAAAATCCAAACCAAAATCGACTTCGGTTACCTACCCTTTTCCTCTTACTTCTGGGGGTAGCGTAACTGTGTGTTAATCTTTCTTTTTGCACCTTACTCAGTTTACATCAGAAAGAGTTCGACAACTTGTATAAAAACTAAAAACTAACCAAAGTCGAGAAGAAAACAGAGGAGGTGATAGAATAAGCCAAAGATCGCTGGTTAAGAAGGAGGTAGATCCTTAGTTTATTGGAAATTTAAAAGGTACTGAAAGTCACTACAACCGCAACAAATCAAAAGGAGTATATTTAAGTAGTGATCTTTTAATACGAAAACTTCACATGATTTATAATGCTAGTGCAGAAAATCCCCAACTTCAAGTAAAGTTATCAATGTTTCGTAAAATATTCTGCGAAGAGTTCTATGTTGGTTTCAAATCTCTTGCATCTGACGTCTGTGGGTACTGTGTCATGATGGACTATAAAATTAAAAATGCTACAGGAGCTCAAACGCAGATACTTTTTACTGAAAAAAGAATATACAAGAAAAGAGCAAAGTGTTTCTTTGACCTAATGAAAGAAACCAAAGAAATAGAGAAAACTTTATGATTTGATATGCAGCAGGTGCAACTATTTCCTCGAACGCCCATTTAAGAGGCTTTTTATGCCAGATAATTAAGTCTTTACAATGTTTAAAATCCACAAGTAAACTAAGTTCCTGTAGTTTGCTATATACAATGTATAACAAAAAATTTATTAAAATCCTTTATAAAAGGTATATAATTTAAAAACCCAATGAGGCTATATCACAAAACGTTTTCGAAATCCATGTTTCACCATCAGTGTCTAGGTTACAATGTTTGTGTAACAAATATTAAAAATGACAACACCCCATACTTTTATATCTGGACCGAAGAGCAAGCGGGGCGCAATTCAACCGAAGTAGCTTCTGCTCTCCTTAGTTATCTTCAATTAGATGACCGTACAGATGTAAACCACCTGAGATTGTTTTGTGATGGATGTACAGGTTAGAACAAAAACAATAATGTGCTTCATACTTTAATATACTCTTTAGCAGCCCACCAAGGCACCTTGACACATATTACTATTAATTTCCCTGTCAGGGGCCATTCTTTTTTACCAGCCGATAGGGTTTTTGGAAGAGCCGAGACATTATTGCGGAAGAAACCTACTCTTGTTGATAAAGAGTACCTTGGAGAATATAAAAAAGTTGGCACTGTGAAGGTACTTGGAATAGATTGTCTGAAGGATGTAAAGTTACTTGTTAATAATTATTTAAAACACTGACCTAAAATCAGTGACACAAAAATAATTTTCATATAGAAAGTTGTAACAAAAAAAAAATTACAGTTATGGGTTAAATTAATGGGCAATTAATTCTATCGCTTTGAACCAGAGCTACACAAATACAGCCTTCTAAAGCAACACACGATTAGAAAAAACTGGAAAATCCTCTTGAAGAAATTAATTTAGTTCATCCCGTAAGCGCAGTAAAAAAAAGGATGTGAACGAACTGTTAGAGGTAATGGATTTTAACAAGAGCCATGAGTCATGCCTATTCAGTACACAAGTTAACCTGTTATTTTTAAGGTCATAGCTCTTGTCAAGAGTTCTTTCTTAATGCAAACTGGCAAGATATTGAAAGCCTTCTTTGGCACAAAAACATTATTGTTGGTCCAAATGTAGATGGGCCTGAAGAAGAGGAGGTAGTTATTTCTGACTATTTTGAAGAAGACTGTGCCCATCATTTGTAATATCTGAACTATCTAAAGGTTTCACTCTATATGTTTCACTATAACTGAGGTTTCACTGTAATATTGTGAAAAAGGGTATTTTATTATAATAATTAAAATTTTATTTTTTATATTATGAAGAACATATTTTTACTTTGCTTACTAGTTTGTCCAATACTGATTCCAACCCTACACTAAAATAAATAATCTTAATAAACATGTCACATGTGTTTCATGCATAACTCCTCATCTAACATCTTTTATATTATATTTTTAGTCAGTTATACCACTTTCTACACAAGTAAGTAGTTTTTTCAGCTCATAAACCAATACTGAACTATAACTATATTACATAAAATATGTTAGCCTTTTTCTTTGCCTATGTCGTTTTCCGTTGAAGCCATCCGAGTTCCGAAGCTGTTCTTTGGGATTTTCCAATGGTAGGAGGATCTAGGTCCAGACAAGCTTGGAAAACTATCAATAGTCTTAGAAAAAATACAAACGAAACAAAAAAAATAAACCCCATAGACATAGAAAGATGGAAAATTTATTATTAAAATCTATTAAATGAACAACGTACATAGTTTCTAGACACACAGATAGATAGAGTTGAAACGGGGTTAAATGAAGTGGCGATGATTACCGTAGAAGAAATAAAAAACGCATTACAAAAAATGAAAAATAATAAAGATCCTGGGCCGGGTGATTTACCTATCGAGTTATTCAAACATGCCACTGCAATAACATTAGAATTGCTTTGTAAAATGTTTAACAAGTGCCTACAAGGAGAAAGTATCCCAAGAGATTGGAAAGTCTCGTACATAAACTCCATCTACAAAAAGGGAAACAGGAATGACTGCAGTAATTACCGAGGTATCAGCATTACGTCATCCACTGGCAAACTGTATGAAAGAGTTCTGAAAGCCAGAATAGAAAAAGAAGCCACAGAGATCGAAGAACAAAGTGGATTCCGACCAGGGAGATCTTGTGTCGACAATGTATTTACTCTCAAACACCTAACGGAAAAGAGATTAGCAAGAGGACTAGAACTTCATGCCACTTTTATAGATCTCCGTAAAGCGTTTGACTCCGTACCACTGCAGAGACTATGGACAACATTGGAAAACGCAGGTATAAAGGCAGTATATATAAATGCCGTGAAAAAGCTATATCAAAATAACCAAGCTTATATTAAGGTTGGAAACCAAATTTCCAAGGGTTTCACCCAAAAAAAGGGTGTCAAACAGGGCTCTTGCCTCTCTCCAACCCTGTTTAAAATATATCTTGGTAATGCTTTAACACATTGGATGAGAAAATGCAGCCCAATGGGCATATGGGTAAATGACACTCCTATATACACAATCCTCTTCGCAGACGACCAGGTAGTTCTTGCCGAGGACCTACAATATATGACGTACATGATAAACAAACTAATAGACGAATTCAAAAAATGGGGATTAGAGGTTAATACCGAAAAGACACAATACATGAATATAGGAGGCATCGGTCAAGACATGGAAACAGAAAGCGGATTAATTAAAAACGTTGATCAGTACGAATATCTCGGAGTTACACTAAGCGAAGACGGGAGAGACGACAAAGATATAACAAGAAAAATAGGAAAAGGAAAAAACATGATAAAAACACTACATCCGATCCTGTGGAATAAAACTTTAACTAGGAAAACAAAGAAAAATATATATCAGGCTATGATTCAGCCGGTGCTGACGTATGGGTCAGAAGTGTGGGTCTTTAACAATAATATGTCACAAAAACTCCTCTCAACGGAAATGATGTACTGGAGAAGATGTTCCGGGTTAAATTTGTTTGACCACATAAGAAATGAAAACATAAGAGAGAGAATGAAAGTAAAGAACACAATAATGGATACGATAGCCGAAAATCAATTAAAATGGTATGGACACCTGAGACGGATGAACGAAGAAAGGATACCACGAAAGGTTTGGAACTGGAGACCTACACAGAGAAATAAAAGGGGAAGGCCAAGAAAGAAATGGATATCCAATATTCATATAGAAATGGAAAATAGAGGTCTTCAAGAAGGAGACTGGGCCGATAAGAAATTATGGCGATTGGGATGCGAGAAGCGACAAAATTAAAGTTGCAAACACTCGCTATATATATACATAAAATATGTTTTGGTAAAATAATATAGGTGAATAGGTTTTTTCACTCTCCTCAAAAAAGGCCAATGTGGATATGTGGGTTTATGAAAATTATCTGCTTATTTTGGTTCTGTGTGAAATACGTCTGATAGTAAAGTGATTTCGCGAGAACTATACGTTTACTTTTATAAATTTTCGCATTACGTGTGTACAAATTAGATTTCTATCTCTCTTTGGTTCTAGTAAATCTGTATTATTCTTCTATTTTTGCTATCGATGTTTTTATTTTCTAATACTTTTAGTTGTTTATCATACTTTAGTATATCAAAAGCTTTTTGGTAGTCAACAAAACACATATAAATGTCGAAGTTTATGTCTATATGTCTTTCTGTTAGAACACTAATACCAAAGTAGTCTCTTTTAGGTCCTTAAGTTATTTCTAAGGCCAAATTGAGTTTCAGTTATATTAGCATCTATTTTTTATACATCCGTTTTTGTATTATTGTTAACAATATTTTGTGTACATAAATTAAAAGGCGTAAATTACAGATTGTTAAAAGAAAGAATAATATGTTTAATGGGACCTATTAATGACATAAGCAGTTCTTTGATAATTGCCCAGCTTTTATACCTTCAAGCCGAATCATCTTCAAAGCCTATTCATATGTATATCAATTCTCCTGGAGGTGTTATTACATCAGGATTAGGAATATATGATACAATGCAGTACATTCTACCTCCAGTTGCTACTTGGTGCGTTGGACAAGCTTGCAGTATGGCATCTTTATTGTTAGCTGCAGGTAAGTGATGTTTCCAATTAAATAAGTACGTTTTTTGTTTTGTACTTTAATGTCAATGATAAAAGTAGGACGTATAAAAATTTGCTGGCTCATTAGTTAAAATATTAAACGAAAAAAAAAAATAAAACATGTGATTGTGGATAAGGTTAGCAATTGGTTGGCAAAACTCACAAATTATTGTCAACTCGGAAAGAAATTAACTTACATATTGAATACTGTATAAGGCAGAAAACATTAAAAGCCAAGTTTGTGGTCAAAGTTTCTGAGCTGCGATGCTGTAAGAAGAAAAGTGACATCTTGGACGCTATAATGGTTTTATCATCTCTAGTACTTGTTAACTACTGCCCGTTTCATAGGAATAAATTCCCTGACCTAGGAGCTATGCCCTTGGGCTTTTCTTGTACCCTCTTGACTTTTTCTTCTCCACTATAAATATATACAAAACCTATTTCTTTTCCACCCTGGCTTTCTTGTTTGTCTTGGTAAAATCTGTAATATCATATTTAATTGTCTTTTTTTATGATTTATTTCCTCATACGACACCCTTAGGTATACCATATATTTATATTTATAATCCTTTTTCGTTTGCTATGTCGTCTTTCTTTTTTTCCCGCCCATTTTCCGAGGCTGAATTTTAGAATTTTTGCAGTTAATTTGCATTTCAGTTAAAGATCAGGATTTTCTGTTGAAGTTTGCTCCCTTAACCAATGTATAGTTCGCCAAATATAGCTGAATGTGTAAAAACGCGTGATGATCATGATGCGCATTCGTCAAACGACGAATCTCGCAATCGCACTGACGGTCCAGACCGTTTGTATGTGCGTTCTCACTTCATTGTTAGCGCAGGCAATGAGAGTTTCACACTTTCAGCTATATTTGGTGAAAGATACTCCAGATTAAGGCGCTGGATACTCGCTTTTGCCCATTCGTTTGAGGGTAGGATTTGATAGTGGCATTTACAAGTGTAGACTTGAAAATTTCTTGGTATTTATTGACAGTATCCACTTGGCTTATTATTATTTATAATTATTAATTATACCTTCTGTAATTACATAATCGCTAGTGCCATATGCAAATTTCTTATGTGAAAATGCCAAATCGACAAAATATATGATCCACAGTCCACGTCAAACTAAGACATTGTTAAGTTGACAATTTCAGGTTAAATTATCAAGTTAAGAGTATTCTAAGACACAGTGCCACAGATGTCTTTTAAACTAACACAATGTATCTAATATAAAATTTGGTTTGTCTACATTTTCATTATTAAAACAATATAAAACTTACGTTAGAGTTCCAAAAGGTATTTCAACAGTTTGTTCACACTACATATTATTAACCTTACGATTATTAACATTATAAGTTATTCCTTTACATATTTTCGAACATCTATTACATTATAACTTTCTATCTTGGATTTAGTCACAGAAATTAAATATCCTCCAATAGATTTTTTTGTTTATTTGAATTTGACATAAATATTTCACTGCATTTAACTTAGACTAGGATATAATATCCCTCTAGATTCAAAATCAACTAACAACTTATATTTAATTTCACTATGGGGTGTAATACCTACTCTATTCTTCATACGTATCTGATAATTCATCTTCTTTTACTTTGCCAATTGTCTACAATGTTATTCTGGCTTCTCGTTATGATTTCGTTATATTTCCTATCCAGTTACAGTTTAGAGTATGCTATAAATCTGAAACTGACCAATCACATTAGACTGGCTGAAAACTAACTAACAAAATGTTTTAGGAACACCCGGAATGAGAAGTTCCTTACCCAATGCACGGATTATGATTCACCAACCATCTGGAGGAGTAGTAGGTCAGGCTACTGACATTAAAATACAAGCAGAGGAAATTCTGAAGATAAAGAAACAAATAAATCACCTATATGAAAAACATACCGGTATGCCTGTAGAAAAAGTTGAATCCAGCTTGGAAAGAGATAATTTCATGACTCCAACTGAAGCTCTCTTATTTGGCTTAATTGATAAAGTTTCAACTAAACCTCTTCCGAATAAGGATATAAAGAAAAAAGTTCATGATCAAAAACCAATTGATCCTCCTTTCATTGATGTCTCAAAGTCAGTTCTTAAGAAAGAACCTTGCGGGGAGAATTAATATTATGTTCAATAAAGAAATATATTTTCGAAAGATTTTGTTTTAATTTCTTTTTAACAATGTCTAGGTTAATATTGTTATTGCATTATTATCGGAATTTACAAATCTTGTTTCAAATTTGTTTGTTTATCATTTGTAATGTGTTAGTTTAATAATATTTACTATGTTTATTGAAAATTAACCACAATTTTAGATTAAAATATGCTTCTTTTGGTGTTTTGTATTTTGGGCACGATTTTTCGATAAGATGATTCATTTTAACATAACATAGTTACCTAAAATAAGTTCCAGAATTTGTAGTTTTCTGTTGAAATGCAGGACATTTGTATCTATTCGAAAGATTACAGTACGAAATTGCTGATATTTGATATTAATATTATGATATTAAATTTTAACTTGCTTTTGAAATATGTATGGCTAATATACACTGCCCACCAAAATTAACGCATAAGTTTTTTTAAAAAACTTAAAAAATTAAATCAAATGCAAGTACTGCATCCTTTCCGTTTATTACTGCCTAACAACATTCTTTCACATTAAGAATACTACTATCGGTTTACAGCGTTCTCCGACGCCTTCCGACTCCTAACCGCCATTCTTCTCTATTTAATCATAGGCCTGGAGGGATTTCTCTTTCCTCTAGTTCTTTTTCAATTCCCTCTCTCCAGCTTCTTCTCGGCCTTCCTCTTTTCCTTCTCACTTGTGGTGTCCACGTCCAAATTTGTGTCGGAATCCTGTCATCTGCATTCTCTGTACATGGCCGTACCATATTATAATAACTGTTTTGTTTTTATGTTATCAACATCAAGAATTACTGGTCTTATTGCATATTGATTTATTTGATCCAAAATTTCAAATCAATCGCAAAAATCAGTTGATTTAACGTATTTGGTGCGTTAGGTATGTGTCGTACTCGTCTCCCTGCGATGTGTCAAATATGTTTTATTGGACTGAGGTCGGTACTTCTCGCATGCCAAACCATGACAGGAATTTCAACCCCCTGACGATATGGCTATACAATTCTTGCAATGTGTGACCTTACATTATAAGGCATGGGCTGAGCATGAATTTCTCCCCATGAAATAGTGCAAATGGCAAGATAATATGTCCTTCTAAAATACTGTAATGTACATTGTGCTGTAAAAGCCGCCCTGTATTATATTCTATCTAACGCTGTCTTCTTTTTCAAGTTCCGCTCCTATCGGAGATTAGAAATCACTCTGGCAATTATAATTTTGTTGGTTACATGCCTAAATAGTTCAATTGAACTGCATCCAAACCATTCACGGAGATTGTGTAGCCACGAAATTTTACCTCTTTCTACGCTTCTTCTGCCTTTGATTTTACCCTGCATTATATTCCTTACTAGTTCGTATTTTTCACCTCTCATCATGTGCCCCAAGTATTCCAATTTCCTGATTTTTATGGAATTTAAAACTTCGCATTGTTTCCTAGTTGTTCGAGAACTGGTTCGTTTGCTTTGCGATCCATCCATGATATTTTCAAAATACGTAAGTATCACCACATTTCGAATGCTTTTAGGTTTTTAATGTTGGATTTTTTAAGTGTCCAAGCTTCAACCCCATACAAAAGGGTAGGGAAAATATAACATCGAAGTATTCTTATCCGGAGCGATATATTGATTACAAAAAAGTTTTCTCATTCTATTAAAAGTTGACCGTGAAATTCCAATGCGGCATCTTATTTCTTCTGTCTGATCAGTATCTTCTGTGATCCATGCTCCAAGGTATGTGTACGAAGATATTTGTTCAATATCTGTATTGGCTAGTATTAGCTTAACTTTGATGTTTTGTGCTTTTGCAAATACCATGAACTTGATTTTTTTCAAATTTCTTTTTAGTTCTAAACGTCTAACGCCGTAAAAGGTTTTAAATGAATTACTATTATTGAGTTGCCACCATACTGTACAGTCCCTACAATGTTACTCTGTGCGTTCCCCTGGTCTTCTCTATACTCATTTTCGCTTGCTATCAGAAAAAAGGCAATATGTGATCAGTGAATACTATTTTTTTCCAAACTTCATTATTCTTAACAACATGTTTAGAAAAAAAAATGTAATCTTTGCCATCTATGCTTTCTGGTCAATACTGGGTCCGTGAGTGCCCTTCCAGGGATCAGGTCATTTTCGACAAGTCTTTTCTAAAATTATAACGGTCTAAAAATTCGTTTTGTAGAACAATATATACACATATCGGTTTAAAAAGTTTTTCTACGTCTTCCGATACCAAATCGCCATTTTTCTCGGTCCCTCCATAAGTTTTCCTCTATTTCTCTATCTCCCATTTGCCGATTTATGCCTTCTCTCCAAATAAGGTGAATTATTTCTCTTTTACTTCTACCATGAGGTTGCCATGTTGGGGTTTGTTTTGGAAGCCGATCTTCGGACATTCTTTGAACATGTCTATACCATCTTAACTGTTGGGAACCAATATCTTCTACTGTTGCAGGGTTTACTTTTATTTTAATGTTGTTTTACTGTTAGTAACTCTCTTCAACCATAATTTCCCTGCCAAACGTATGCCGAAATCCAAAAATCGATTTTTGTTATCTTGAGATTTCTGTTGTCTTCTTCTTCTTCTTCGGCTTTTCCCTTTTCAGGGATAGCTATTCCTTAATTTTCGTCGCCACTCATTTGTGTCCATCGGGTCTTCTTCACCGAAATCTTTCTCTCTCAAGTCGCCTGCCGCATATTCTGTCCATCTTCTTCTCGTTTTTTCTTTATCTCTCCTTCCATCAACTTCTAACAGCTCTATCCTTCACAAATTGTTTATCTCTATGTCTGACATGACCAAAACATTCCAGTCTTTGTTCTTGAACCTTTTTTGAGACTGTAATCTTTCCCTAATAAAGTCGTTTCTGATCCTGTCCGTTCTAGTCTTACTAAACGTCCACCGTAATATTTTTATTTTAGCTACCTCTATATTATTTTCCTAAATTTTCTTTACAGCCATATTTTGCCGCCGGCGCTATACACCAACGCAGGTCTCACCACACTCTTGTATATCTTTCTTTTCAGCCCTTCCTCAATTGTTTGATCACAAAGTATCCCGCTTATTCGCTTCCAGTTAAACCAACCAGTCTGAATCCTGTGAGCAATTTTTCGATCTAGTGTCCCATTTTCCGTTATGTAAAAACCAAGATATTTAAGTTTTCCTACTCGCCCTAGTTATTTCTCAAGCAATTCGATATCCACAACCATTTCTCTTCCTCCCAACCACATATACTTTGTTTTCGACCTGTTAATCTTAGGTTCCCTCTCTTTACTCAACTACTCTAACTTCTTTAACATTTTTTTAATTTTCTCTACTAACACGATAACATCAGTAAAGCGCATTGACCAAGGAGCCCCCTCCCGTACTTTTTTTGTCAGTACATCCATAAAAAGAATAAACAGGTAAGGACTAAGTCACTTGTTACATATAAATTATCACTTGAAATCTTTGGGTCAATCCGACATAAGACTCTACGACTCATACGACTCTACAAGAGAGTCGTACGTTACCATGTTATCAAATCCACTGGTAACTTTAACATCTTAATATAGAAGATCAAATAATGTAAACTAAATTTAAACCTATACCTTTACGGCGATTTATACTCAGATATTTAGTGACTCAAAACATGTACACCTAGACACTGATGATGGAATATGGATTCCGAAAATGTTTTGTTGTTGTGATATAGCCCGATTAGGTTTTCTAATTATATACCTTTTATAAAGGATTTTACCATCACACTCTCTCTCCATGCACTGGTCATCCTTTCTTCCTCATGTATCCTACCCATATTTGCCCAAAAATATCAACCTTTTGGTCTCCTAGAATCTTCCAAACCTTCAAAGGTATTCCATCAGGTCCTACTGCCTTATCATTATTTATCCTATTTAGCCTCTTTATCCTCTCTAGCCTCTTTCTTCATGTACGAATAAGAAGGTTGCCTTAGCAAACTATGCTGGTTCGCTGAAAGATTTTTTCTTACCGCACAAAGCTTCTGATGTACTCCGTAGCTACGAAGGACCAGCTGGAATATCCAGCAATAAAGCCTTAAAATGTATCAAAATGTATCTTTATTACAAGAAAAAAATAACCTACAGCACTGTAGAAAATAGCATATAACAAATGTAGGAAGTTTATTGTTTATAGATAACAGTGAATGTTTAACATGTATGGATAACATGTAAATTAAAATTGTTGTTAGATCGGAAATCGTTTATATGCACTCGCGGCACGTTATGACAACACCGTGACTTAAAACAATTGAAAAGTTAAGAGTAAATATAACTTTGCTACCTACAATAGGCACAACATCTAACTCTTATTACCCTATTAACTTACTGCCAACAATACTGGCCACAAAAACTGGATAATAGGAAGATATTGTTTTAAGAAATGAATTTGACTGGTCGCAAGCTCTTGCTTGTAGGACCTTTTCTTACGACGGTTTCTTGGCGACTATATATTTTTAAGGAACTTGTTGGTCTTGTTAATAGTTCAGGGCCGAGAATGGACTGGTTTTTTGTGACTAGTCCAAGTTTAGACATAAGGGGAGTATTTAAATGAAAATATAAGATTTTTAAAATGTACAAATTTATGGTAAATTTGTACACTTCTCTCTAACATTCTGTTGCATTTCATCGTTCCTCCACGAAGTTTTTTTGTCTCTAGGAGACCCTTTATCATATGTTTTTCCTAGGGCTTTAGATCTTTATCTTTTAACTTCTATCACTTTACTTTCTGGTGTCCATCATTTTTTCATTTCCGCCTCACCATTATCTCCGTATCCACTACCACGGGTCGGTGTTGACTAGCTACACACTTACCCTTTATCACTTTATAGTCGGTAACCTCTTTTGACTGACTTCTTCTGTAAATCATAAAATCTATCTGACTTTTCCTTTTCCCTCTACTATAAGTAATATACTGGCCTTCAGTCTTCATAAAGAATGTATTAATGACAGACGTACTCGTATAATATATATATCTACCAGTATATATTTGTATATAGTAAAGAC